TGTAGTCCTTTTATTTTGATGCAATTTTTGTACACATACATTTAATCAAAATTCATAAATATCTTAAAGTTTAGTTCCATCAAAAGTGTACTTATCTATAACTTTCTAAAAAGGTTTTCACCCGAAATATTGAGAATATATTAATATAAATCTATAATATATCAATATATTTATAATATACTATATTTACTAATGTTAAGTAATGTTTTTGATGAATTTCGTGATAAATGTTTCCGATAAATTCAGAATTCTTCCAAAAGATCTATTTTTCCCCATTAGTATTGTTTTGTACTTTACTTAGTCGAAAATGGAAATGGAAAGTGATGCAAACTTATAAATTTATCAGATTCAGTGGTTGGGAAAAACATGGTAGTTAATTGTTTTAAATGATCGTTTTTGCTTCGAATTCCCTATAATGAAAATGAAAGTTGTGTGATGCATGTACCGAACCAGATTTTTTAATTTAAAATACATTACTAATATCTTTATAGTCAATTCATTCCAAAATGCTTACATTCTTATGTCTATTTAATGGCCTAATAGCCAACGGCAGAGGCGTTTAATAAAAAAATATCTATTTAAAGTTCAAGCAGCATGTGAATTGGCCCAGCAGTCAAAATTATGCCTAGCAGTCATTTTACAATGTTACTAAAAATGAGAAGCAAATAATGGGTGCTATCTAGAAATGCCAACTGATTCTAGATGATATCAAAATGGCATCCTATTAAATTTGAATACTTACCCATATTTTTTAACTGATCATTCAAAAACCTGCTTTTTCACCCCACACTCAGGTAAAGCAGGATCCTATGAGATCCCAGTGCATCTCCTTTACATCAGTGATGCTAAGATCCAGTGGAAGCTGAGTGAATGTGCTAAAGCAGCAAGCTTTTACAACATATTTAACTGTGACTATTACTGTCACTATACTGACTATACTGTCAATTCTAAGAAAGTTTCGGATGAAATTTAGAAAATTTGGCAGAAATAATTTTGAACATATTTATTTAAAGTTTAAATGAAATTAAATTTAGCTTTTGAAAACATTTTACTAATTCCTTCATGAAAATGATACTTTAATTTTAATTGTTATAATGTGTTCCAAAGCTGAAATAGTGTTTTATTTAAATAAATTTAAAGTTTTTTTTTTCTTATTATTATACAGTACTATGAACTATGTTCTTCCATAGTAATTTTCAGTTTCTTTACCATGATTTCCGAAAAAGATTTTTGTAGTATCTTTTTCTTGGTGCAAATACTTTATTTTCTTTAATATCTTCAGGAATTTTCTTTTTTTTGTTCATAAATTTGTTACATAAGTAAAATCCATAATTTATTATAACCTCAACTAATTAAGAACTTTGACAAATTTTCCCTTTGTTAATCAGAACATTGGGAACTGAGTGTAACTATATATGATTTGTAAAAGGGGGAGCCTCGCGCGGGCTCATTACCGCGTATGGGGAGCGTCCTACGGGTGGCGGATGTGGGGATGGTCGGTGGAAATTGCTTGGAAGTTCCTCCCGGCTAAGTCCGATGGACTCGCTGACCAACAATGAGAGGGGCCCTCTAGACTTGCTGGAGGGAAGGGACCTCCAGACTTGCTGGAGGTAGGGGCCCACCAGACTTGCTGGAGGGTGTGACGTAGGATTGAACGCCCTACTCACATATCTTTAGTTCACCAAACACCACAAATAGTCATGGATCTCCCTAAGGTAAAACGCTCATTATCCGGAGGTAAACTAGTCCCCCGTTCGGGTCTCCGGGTGGGGACTGCTTTAGGGGATTCATGGCGCAAGTTGAAATATAGGGATTTAAATATTGGTACGTGGAACGTAAGGAGTTTAAACACAGAAGGGGGGCTAAAATCGGTCGCGAATGAGCTAAATGGATACAATTTGGATGTCGTGGCTCTGCAAGAGGTCCGCTGGCCAGGGGAGGGCTCGATGAGGGAAGGAAAGTACACTATTTGGTACGGAGAAAGCGGGAAACATTGTTTAGGTACCGGGTTTCTAATTAGGCGTAGATTACTATCCGCTTTGAGGGACGTACAATTCTTTAGTGATAGGATTTCGGTAGCTATATTTCAGGGACGTTGGTTTAAAATCGCATTAATAAACATACATTGTCCGACCGAAGACAGTGACGATGAAGTCAAAAGTGAATTTTACGATAAACTCGAATGGGTTTATGATAAACTACCGCGAAACTACATGAAAATAATTGTAGGTGACGCGAACGCAAAGGTAGGAAGGGAAGAAGTTTATATTCCGACGATTGATAAAGAAAGTTTGCACGAATATAGTAATGATAATGGGATCCGTCTGATAAACTTTGCCATCTCGGAAAACCTGATAATTAAAAGTACGACGTTTAAACATAAGGATATTCATAAATATACTTGGACATCACCGGATTCGCAATCACGAAATCAAATCGATTATGTCTTGATACAACACAGCTGGCAAAGCAGTATAATCAATGTACGGTCTTATCGCGGAGCAGAATGTGGGTCGGATCATGAATTAGTAATCGCGAAACTTCGACAAAAACTTAATATAAAAAAGAGAAAAGAAAACCGTTTCGATTTTGAGAATTTTAATTTGGAAAAATTAAAAAATCCATCAATTAGAAACCAATTCGAGCTAGATGTTAAGAATAGGTTTGAAGCTTTAGAGCTTCCTGACGAGGACCACGAGGATATTGACAAGTTATGGGTAGAGATCAGGGATAGTATTAAAGCGGTCGGTAACTCGTGTCTAGGAAAAAAGGAAAATAAGAATAACAAACCGTGGTTTGATGAAGATTGCTTAAACATGTGCGAAAAAAGAAAAGCCGCTAAATTAAAAGCTCTAAATAATCCTAGCGAAGACAATCTGGAATACTTCCGAATCTCAAAGAACGAAACGACAAAATTGCTCAAAAATAAAAAAAGGGAGTATCTTAAAAATAAAATAATTGAAATAGAAACTAATAGAATCGAAAATAACGTAAGAGACATGTACAAGGGTATAAACAGATCACGTAAATGTGTAGGGTCCGTAACATCTGGAATTAGGGATGATAATAACAATATTCTGACCGATCCGGTTGACATATTGAATAAATTTAAGGAACACTTTGACAATATTTTAAATACGGGAAATTATGATCTGTGTCCTCCTTCCGAGTACCAGAGTGCTGAACCGTTGATAGAAGAAACGAGTAAAGAGGAAGTTGAATTAGCTATCGGAAAATTAAAATCTTATAAAGCAGCGGGAACCGACAATATTCCTATTGAACTAATTAAGGCATGCGGGGAAGCTGGAGTTTCTAAAATACATCGGTTGGTTAAAAAGATCTGGGTGAATGAGAAATTACCTGAATAATGGAAAGAATCTATTCTTATTCCGATTCACAAAAAGGGCGCGAGGACGGATTGTAATAACTATCGAGGAATTTCACTCCTTCCGGTATGCTATAAAATATTCACCTTAATCTTAACCAGTCGAATCACGGAATACTCCGAGGAAATTATCGGAGACTACCAATGCGGATTTAGACGGAATCGTTCGACAATTGATCAAATATATTCTTTACGGCAAATATTAGAGAAAAAATTGGAGTACAACGGTATTGTTCACCAGCTATATATAGATTTTAAAAAGGCTTACGATTCTATTGACCGCCAGAAACTGTATAATATTCTAATCGAGCAGGGGATTCCAAAAAAATTAGTAAATCTAGTCAGGATGCGCCTCTTGTTCCGGAACTTAAAAATTAGAATCTATAAAACAATTATCTTGCCTACAGTTCTTTATGGATGCGAAATTTGGCCGCTTACATTAAGGGATGAGCAGCGTCTTAAGGTTTTTGAAAATAAAGTATTGTGTAGAATATTCGGACCGAAGAAGGATGAGTTAACCGGAGAGTTCAGACGGTTACACAACGCCGAATTGCGTGAGCTGTATCCGGGTAATATAATTGATGTAATTTCATCGCGGCGAATCAAATGGGCTTGTAAAGTTGTTGGGCTTAGAAACGAGAGAATTCCTAAGAGGTTAATATTTGCTGTGCCGAATGGTAAGCGTCCGAGGGGTAGACAGAAGCGAAGGTGGGAAGATTGCATTAAAGCCGATCTGAAGGGACTGGGTTTGGACGGCGAACGGTGGAGGGAGGAGTGTAACAAGCGATTGGTGGTGTCGGAATCGAACCTTCGGGTTCGCTAAGCCTTATTATTATTATTATTAAAAGGGGGAGTGTCATTTTAATGCACACAAGGGGTTTCTGAATAGATAAATAAAGTCAAAATTAACAAAAATGTATTTGAAAGTTAATTTATACCTACCTAAAATGCACTTACTGAATTGTTGCAATACACCAACGATAACAAATATTTCAATACCCTAGTGATTTGAGCATCATTGACTTACTTTATCCAAACCAAAAACTGATTCTTCATATACTAGGTACTATATAATTAACAAAAATGAGCTCTGTCAAATGCCAGTCATCAGGTCGGTGCAGCACTAATATTCTAAATATATAGTTTTAGTTCTCAAAAATAATATTTTTTTCTTTTATAAAACTTGTTTAATTTTAAACTATGTAAGTCCCAAAGCATAAAAATGGTAGTCTGTCAACCACCAGCCTCATGTTTGTTGTTTGTTAAACATTGTTAGCATACTGTGACAATAAATGTTTTGATATCATCTTAAAATTAAATTTTCTGTAATAATCCGTCACACATTCCACATTTGAATATTATTGCGTATTGCACAAATGTTCACACGTTTTTAACTCAATAATTCTATGCATAAAACACCTAATTATAACTGTTAACTAATGATTGAAAAATTTCATATGAAATCCTTAAAACTCATAAAAATATTGCTGAGGCTGCATATAAACTGTAATTTTAATCGCACACCGATTTAGGTATTATTAGATTTTTACTTTCAGATATTAATAAACATATTTAGAAAATGATGATACTTAAAGGGAATAAAAAAAAAAAACTATTAAATTAAATAAGTGGTTTAAATATTATTCAGAAACAAAAGTAAACATAATTATAAAAGTTAAAGAAACAATATAAATATAACAATTATTTACATAAGGTTTTACAAATTTCATTTCACTATAATGCGTTAGTGTTATTTTAATTATTTCTAATAATATTTTCAGACATATTTGATATCGTATAAGATTCAATCAGTTTTCTTTTGTTCTGCATTCAATGGTTCCTCTTCTTCTTTCTTCTCTTGAGGAATGTATGAAGCTTGTGCGATACTGAAATAGTAGAAATGAATTAGTGACTAGAGTATTAAATATTTATAATTTCCTTATCTCCTCACTATTTTAATGCATTTTACTAAATTCAAATAATTTCATATATTACCTAAATTTGTTAAATCCAACTAATTTTATACACAGGGATTCTCTTGTTCACCTGTGAGCAGTGTATGTATCAGTTGGTAGTCATCCTTTTTTTTTTTTTTTGTTTGGTTTAATTCAAGGTGAATTGCATGTAGGGGCTGGCCAATACTGGGGGAGGAAGGTAGACTTTTAGTCTGAAGACCCGCCAACATTTTGGGATACTTCAGCCTGGAATCTTTTTTTTTTTAAGTGAAAACTTCTTTAGTCATGCTTTGCCATTTTTTGTGGATCATGAATGAGATTAAGCTGTCACGCTCGGATGAGTAATTCTTATTTAGGTAAAATGACTGGTATCAAATAATTGAAATGTCATAAAATGTAATAAAATGAACAATAATACTTTTAGAGATATTTTTTTTTTGTAAGACATGGTTATATTTGACCATTTTGGGAACTTCTCCACCCATTGATCAGCCTCTGATGTAGGTCACTGATAATAATATTCAAAAAGCAAATACCAAGGGTATAAATAAAAAAAAAATACAAAAGCAACTTTATTATAAATAAAATTAATCTTTTCAAATATAAATAATATAGATGCCTGATATACCAACATATAGATATTTTTTTCGAATTACCATTTCTATATGATTGAAAATCATCGTCAAAATACTTTATATATTGATATATATCGATATTTTTTTCAATAGTTTAACCCAGAGAGAAAGCTGATTTACAAGGGAATGATCCATTTTCTGGTTCTGGTTGGAGTCCTCCTCTGGAGTTTGAAATAGGGTCCCCTTATCAGGAAAAAATTTATATATTTATATATAATAATAATAATAATAATAATAAAAGGCTTAGCGAACCCGAAGGTTTGATGCCGACACCACCAATCGCTTATTACACACCTCCCTCCACCGTTCGCCGTCTAAACCCAGTCCCTTCAGATCGGCTTTAATGTAATCTTCCCACCTTCGCTTCGGTCTACCCCTCGGACGCTTACCATTCGGCACAGCAAATATTAACCTTTTAGGAATTCTCTCGTTACTAAGTCCAACAACTTTAGGAGCCCATTTGATTCGCCGCGATGAAATTACCTCAATTATATTACCCGGATACAGTTCACTCAATTCGGCATTGTGTAACCGTCTGAACTCTCCAGTTAACTCATCCTTCTTCGGTCCGAATATTCTACGCAATACTTTATTTTCAAAAACCTTAAGACGCTACTCATCCCTTAATGTAAGCGGTCAAGTTTCGCATCCATAAAGAACTGTATTCAAGATAATTGTTTTATAGATTATAATTTTTAAGTTCCGGGACAATAGGCGCGAACTAAGCAGTTTTGTCACAGAAAAATAACAGGCATTTCCCGCCTTCAGTCTAACCTTAATCTCTTCTTCAATTTTGTTTTTTCTAGTTATCGTAGAACCTAGATACCTAAATTTATCTACCTGTTCAAATATATTACCATCTATATCGATATCACCAGTAGTATCGCCATTTTTGCAGCTAACCATGTATTTTGTCGAGCCCGGTACCTCGCGCGGGCTCATTACCGCGTATGGGGAGCGTGCCACGGGTGGTGGATGTGGGGATGGTTGGTGGAAATTCCTTGGAAGTTCCTCCCGGCTAAGTCCGATGGACTCGCTGACCAACAATGAGAGGAGCCCTCCAGACTTGCTGGATGGAGTGGACCTCCAGACTTGCTGAAGGGAGGGGACCTCCAGACTTGGAGGGGTGACGTAGTATTGAACGCCCTACTCATATATCTTTAGTTCACCAAACACCACAAATATATATATATTACTCCGATAAGGGAGCACACATATATATGTATAGTGTGGTTTCCAGTGATTTAAATATGTAATAAATTCACATTTATTACGTGATTTAAATATGTGACGAATTAACAAGCCCTCAGAAGTGACTCCCAATCATTCTACGGCGATAAGAAAACATTTAAGTTGAGAGGCTCAAAATAAAACAATAATTTAGGAGTAAGTAATGCCACAGTACTAGATAGATACTAAACACAGATATTCGAAGGTTTTAAAGGGGAACTCTTAGTCAATCCACGCCGACAAAAATATATAAACATTCATGTTAGGGTTGATGTTGGGGTTGACCCTTGAGGGTGCCTCAAAAATCTGCGGAAATATACAAATACAAAACAATTATTTTTTTGATACGAGAAAAATATCAAACAATGATCTTCGAGCGTATTCGGCCTCTGAGGGAGAACTCCAATCATTCTGCGGCTATAAAAAGTTTAAAACATTTATGTTGGAGACCTATCGAAGGTGTCAAAAAAATTTGCGGAAATAAACGAAAACAAAACAATTATTTTTGAGGTACAAGAAAAATACAAAACAATTATTTTTGGGGGCCAAACATACAACCGTATAAGATCAACACAAAATAATGATATCCTGGACCCTTAAAGGAGGTCTTAAATCATTTATGGTAGTAAAAAAGTAAAAAACATATATATTCAGGGCACATCGGGTGAGCTACACACAAATTCAGAAATAAAAGAATACAAGACAATTATTTTGAATTCCTAACATATCACAATACTAGATAAATACAAGATAACGATATTCGGAGCCCTGTGAGGGGTCACGCAATGATTCAAGGGCTATATAAAAATATGAAATATTTATGTTGGGCCCATACGAGGGTGCTCCAAAAACTTGCAGAAATAAACTAATTCATAACAATCATTTTTGTGGCCAAAAATACAACGGTTATTTATAAATTCAAAACTACGATCCCTCAAAGGGGCACCCGATCATTCTAAAAGTAAAAAATATTTACGTGGGGGGCCCTCGAAGAAGCCCCAAGAAATTGCGAAAATGAATGTACACGAAACAATTATTTTGGGACCAAACATACAACGGTACTAGATCAATACAAAATAATAGGTGTTCATGTTATTAAATGAATATTACTTGTAAAAAGAATATGTTTGTTCTTTATTTATTGTGTTTCCCATAATTGTGTACATGCAAGTAACAATATTGAAGCCTTAGGTGGAAATGTTTGATAAATGGAACCCAATTGATGCTGGCAATACGGAATCGAATTACTGTCTCGTTATAAAAAAAAACAGCTTCACATATCACTCTAGAGAAGTAAATGAAAAAAGCTGAAGGAGAAATCAAAACAAGTGAGGATGAAGAAAAATTGTATATGGATTTCTTTTTTTTTTCTTCAATGGATTTCAAAGAACTGGGGCACGTCAAAAGTTCAAAGTTTGGAAATTTTTAATCTAATACGCGAAAAGCCTGATTTGGAAAGAGAATAATATAATTAGACTCCAGGAGTTGAATGATTATCCTCCAGGAGGATACATTGGAGGAATGAAACCGGCGATGGGTGACAAACGGGGCCACACTGAGAAAGTTACACTGTCGGATCGTACCTGGAAAAGCTACTGGTCCTCTCGGACTACTGGACCTCATAGTTCCAAAAGGGGTATGAGGGTTTAAGAGCGGAGGTTTTTAAACATGGTAAAAACATCGATCCCTGGCCGTATTGAGGGCCAAATTGATGAAAGAGACAGAACTCTACATTTTAACAGAAAACGAATTTCCTCAGCTGATGCATAAACGAAACTACCCACATTTTAAAAGCTTTGTGATGAAAATTAATCAAAGCAGGCTGTGTGCACATCGATTCACTAGCGGAACCAGGATTTAATTTTGGGGGTAGTGGCTTCAGCCCGGAAGCTTTTTTTTCATACATATATAACAATAATTACTTTAGTTATGGAATGGACTTAATCCGTAACAAATATTAATAATGATAATATTAATTTAACTTTTATTAATGTATAACTTAATATTTAATATGCCAATGATAAAAGCACAGAGCCCTAGATAGCCAGGTCAAGCTATCTCTGATGGCTTAGAAGTAGTTATCTAGAATGTACTGACGGGACAGAGGCCCATTATCAAGAGAGAACAATAACCGATTTCAGCCAAAGAGCACTTTCTCACAGACATCTTAAAAATATTAACTATTGATTACTTCATTTGCCGTCCTCTTCCGACTTGTCACACACTTTCCTTCACTCCCCCCCCTACTATTCTTGGGTGTATTACCCCCATCCTTCTCTGGACTAATCACTCATGCAGTTGCATTGTTGATGTCATCCTCTTTACTGCAGGAGACCTGGAGTGAACTCATGTAGTCAACTCATATATCCATATTAGATTACTCTGTATTTTAGATGCCATTTGTAACTTTATGAATAAAAGCATTACTTATAAATTCTCCACTGCCTCCGATTAGTTAACTTTTGATAAACAGAAAGATACTAACTACCTATGTGAAATGGCGTTTAAATGATTCTTGAAGTCCTATTAAATGTAATTAAACGAGCAATAATACTTTAAGACATAATGTTTTAATATTTTTTACCATAAAGCATGGTTAAATTTTACCATTTTGGGGGGGCTTCAGCCCGAAAGCCCCTCCCCCCGTAGATCCGCCTGTGCATCGGTTCATTACAATGTAAAAAGATAAACTTGCAGTAGTGATTTGTTATGCAGGACTGCGTATCAAGTCACTGCTGCAAACTCCCGTATTGCCTTAAAGGCAGGGTAGGGAAGAAAATAAAATAAAAAATAAAAATAAATACAAAATAATAATATTTGGAGCCCTGGCTCAAAATCCCTCGGCTATCGACGTCAAGCCGACCTGATCAGATCGGCTCTGTCCGTTATGTTCCCAACTACGCTTCTGACGTGGATCCTAATGAAGGCAATGGAGAATGAAATCTATACAATTAAATGGAAACCTCTCAGAATGATATTTAGTTATGATATCAATCTCCAAATTCTCAGAATGATACTTAGTTATGATATCAATCTATCAATAGATTGATATCAATTTTGGCGACCACTGGAGATTAAGCAAGAATATTGAACTATATGGAGCTATTTGGAATAAGGCGTATTTACAAAACCTATACGGATTCAGACATCTCGTCTGTACTCCTCTAGGGTTTGTAGCGGCCCTGGGGATGAAGGGAGGGAGAGGGGTTGGCCAATTACAAACCGTATAGTGATTCAGACATCTCAGCTCTGATTGGCTGGTGGCCAAACCCCAGCCTCAAAATGGCGTCCAAACATGGCGGACTGACAACTTTAACTTTTGTTAGTTTTTTGGTCACTGAGAATCAGCATTTGCCTTAATTTCGCCGTAGTTGGTCTTTTATTAAAGCTGAATAGTCAGAGAATAATAAAACATGAAAAAATATTAAAAAATTATTGCCTTAGGCAATAAAAAACACCAGTAAACTAAATTATTTTAAGAAAAACATAATTTCAAGTTGAAAATCAAGCGTCGTTTATAATTAATTAATCTATAATAAAATAAAGATTTGAATATTTAATAGTTGACCGTATTGTATTATAAAGGAAGGAGATGGTCCGGGGTTGCGGTCATAAATAGGCTAAATAGTTTTACTACTATTTAGCCTATTTATGACCGCAACCCCGGACCATCTCCTTCCTTTAAAATAAAGATTTGTCTGTACATTAAATAGAATCAACCCGTTTTACGATATCTTTCCGTTTCATACATTGCAGACACCATATCCACTTTTAAAAAAATGTTTGTCTGTATGTCCGCATTTTGTCAGAGGTAGGATCGGCAATGGCTTATTGTAGACTTTTGAAATTTTGACATTATATTAAGCTTTGCCGGACTTAAAATATATGCTTTAAATTAAAACAAAATATTGAGTATAACCAAAGTTATGAATTCTTGAGTAATTTGTATTGAGATATCGGTTAATGTTGATAATAAATGTTAATAATAAACATATGTGTATAGGTTAAGAACATCTATCTGAATAAAATAAAGGTTTTGTCTGTACATTGAATAGAATCAACCCGTTTCATGATATCTTTTCTTTTTATACATTACAGACACGGTGTCTGTAATGTATAAAACGAAAAGATGTGTCTGAGACACCAAAACCACTTTCAAACAATTTTAAGGTTAGGCAGTTACTTCGATTCTAATCCCAACCTACTCTATTTTAAACACAAGCAACATTTAAAAGTTGTACTACTCAACTGATTGAAAAAATGATCGCAACTCAACGGGAAATAAATGGAATATCGAACATTTGTGACGAGTTGTCACATAAAATGGGTAAAACACTCATTTTTCAACTTTGTCCGATCATCCGTTTCAAGGTGTCATTCAATTCAAATTCCCGAGCCTAACAAATGTTGTATACATTTTTAAGATTAACCGGAAATCAGGGGAAAAAATCCAAAAATTTCATCCCGCCCGTCACAATTTTCAGATCAAGTTCTAATTTTACCCGGATGTAGGTGACTCAATGTCCAATTTTGGTTATTTTTCCAGCGAAAAATTCAGCAGAGTTCAAAGAAGTGGGGAGACTACAACTCTTTTTGATTAATTAATCGACTCCACAATCTCCTCGCTTCGTCATAAATGAAAATTAAACAATTAGCAAATTTTAATGGATTAGTGGTGATCGGTTTAGTTGTGTGGTACCTAAACAAATAGCCGAATAACAAACTTTTTGTTATGACTTTTGCGAAATCTTGACTTCCATAAAAAATTTCAAATTAAACCCCTCGCTCAACCCGACCCAATTTTGTGAAATTGAATTTGGACCCTCCTCCCCCCATAATACAAAATCCATCTCAAAAAAAGATTCTCAACTTTTAACTATACACCCGTATTGGATTAAACATCAGCTAGTTAATTAATATGTATTCAAATAAATTAATTATATTTCAGTTAATACGATTATTTATTTTTCCTTGTAGAGCAATAAATCTTTTTTAAGGATATTTTTGACGATATCAAAAAGATATCTTTCAGACATATCAAAGATAGCTTTTAGATGCAATTATATTGGATGTCTAAGTATATTAAAAACGACGCATAAGTCATCTTTTTTATGTCTTAAAGATGTCTTTCTGTATATCTTTGAGATATACCACATCTTGATCAAGACTTCTTGTTAGCCATCTTTTAGATACATTTTTGCTGGTAGGGTATATGCTACTGCAGTGAATATTATTTATATATTTACCAAAGGAGGGCTAAGATGATCAAGTTGCCCACAGCACTGATGAGATAGACAGCTCCTGGCATGGTCTTGGAGGTAGCAGAAAAGACATAGCTGTAGAGGTAGTTGATTCCGAAAGGCAAAAACACACCCAACGCCGAACTGAATCCCGTGTACACACCTTCAAAAATACAATTAAAGATTAATTTATCACTTCAATGAACTTCTTACAGTATTTCCGAAAAGGTAAAACATACGGACTTACCAAGCTCATCGCTCTTGATGCATCTATTAAGAATGGCTTGTGGGATGGAGAAGAGGTTGTACTTGACGATGTCCAGCAGAGCAACTGTGGATAATGATACATTACATTAAGATGCGTATGTTTGTTGCAAAAGGTCATCAAATAAAATTTTATAAAATCGAATCAATAAGTATTTTAATAATTTTTCTGTCTCAAATGCATCTTATGCATCGATAAATAAGACAAAAATCATTAATTTTTTAAATTCTTCATTTATTGAAATTTTTGTATGTCTATGTTTTTTTTTACTTTCACTTACGTATATATGTAATATATAGTAAGGGTTGAATCTGAGTTTTCAACGGAAATAAACGTTTTGGTGTACCCTGAGTCCAAATAACCAAGTCCCGAAAAATGGTCTGTGTGTTTGTGTGTTAGCAGTCTAGCTCAAAAATGAAAAGTCGTACGGAACTGATATTACGTATCTAAGACAGCTATATACCTTAGATGTCCTGGCAAGATTTTTCTTAAAATCAGCTAACCGGAAGTGCCACTTTATATCAACGATGAAACACATTTTTACAATTTTCTCAAAAATAGGTATAACGATTTTGATTAAACTCTCTGTATCGTTGTATAATTAAGTGGTATTTTATATCAATTAGGTCTTATTGATGTCACTTTACAGGACTTTAGTACCCAGTGTCCATATACGTCTTCCTCTAAATTATCTTTAATATGATTTATTTTAAAAAGTTAATCATTTCACATTAATCAAAGTTACGCAAAAATGCTAATTATAACTTTTGAAAGAATTTGATAAGTTAACATAGGAGAAAAAAAAAAAAAATGCAGAAAAACCTGCTTTGCTATAGAGTGTAGCGCCTAAACGTATGTACCGATCTCAATGAAACTTAGCTAAAGTAATTTTCTCGACACCCTTTAAATTTGCCTATATAACATACTTCAGCGAAAAGAAGCTGGAAAAAAAGTTACGAGGGGTGTTAAAATTAAATTCCGAATAACTCAAAAAGTATACATTTTTTTGTAAATATTGTTTGGTTATTTAAAAGTTTACGGAATTCCCTATAAATAAAAAAAAATCATTAAAATCGGACAATTAGGAGAGAAGATGTGGTTTAATAGTTCTGTTATTCTGTTATTTTAATAGTATTTATGATTTGTTAGCTGCAATCTTTTAGCTTTAGCTGAATTAAAAATGGAATTTAAAAAAAATTTTAATAGTCAACATGACCAGAAAATAATCTCTATTCAAAGATCAGCAAAGTTCAAAGAGTAAGTGAAAGTTGTGTGTTGCGCGCACCAGATTTTTTTTTTAAATTTACTTATCTTTAAGTTATTTTATTTTTATTTATTGTGTATACTTTTTGATTATTATTTTTCTTATGTATATTTTATATTTTCTGTACACATAGTAAGAATATTGGCTAACTATAATTATTGCCTACCTGTATGACAGAATATTACCCAATAAATAAATAAAAACTACAGATTAAGATCATTCGAGATCAAAAACATCAAGGCGGAATTGGCAATATAAAATATAATTGTTCCTGTTTTATATTCACAATAACATTTACAATATATACAATTATAATTATAAATTAATTAATATTACTGATCTTCATCAATATCATACTCTAAAAAAACAAAAACAAAAAAAATTGGTTTATGATAACTAAAATATGCTAAGAGCGTATCATTTTTTTTAGTATGATTTGTCATATTTGGCATGACAACATCTAGTATAAAATTCGTTATCATTTGGTTTTTTACACTATTTTTTACCCTTTCGCGTCTCTAACACGGCGTCAAGATAAGATTTTGAAGTAATATTGAAATGCTGAAAATTTCCTTCGCTTAAAGTATGCAGGTCCGATTTTTACTATCTGAAAAATTTTAATCCAAATGCAAAAATTAGTCAACTGTAGTCTACTTTTCCCGAATGAGCATTACATAGTCGATAGTGTTACCCAAATGCGAGACCTAGACGAGTCTTGGTGTTGCAAACTTGGTCTTGGTCTAGGTCTTGGTCTTGCGCAAGACTCTCGTAACAGTCTTGCAGTTACCTATCAGCTTATTACTGGACAGATATTACTGTAATTTTTTAGATGTGAAAAACCTAAGTCTGAATGAAAAATTTGAAGAGTTAAATGCAAAAGTATATTGGTTACACAAATTCTTTACTTATAGTAACTAAAATTGTCAAGTATTAGTAACTATTTAGCCTCAATTTTGTTCAAAAAATCGATTTTTTTTACCATCTTGGTCTTGGTCTTGCAACAGATAGGCGGTGTTGGTCTTGCGGTGTTGCAAGACTTAGCCCGATTTTGGGCAACACTAATAGTCGACCGTGACTGCTCAGTCTCATTCACTACCCACAAAAAATAAGCTAAGCTTATTGAAAAAATATTGAAATTTACAGCTGAATAAATAAAATACAATAAGTAAATTTACTCTGTAAATGTAAGTAAACATGATAGTAGATTGTGAAGCAATTACCTATCGATAGCACTTCAATGGTTATTTAAATTTAAGAGATCCCTTCTTTTCAGATGCTTTAGAGGATTCAAGGACCAGAGAGTTTTTATGACACCTATTTAAGGGCCAAGCCATCAATAAATGGAATAAGATCTCTTAATGGATAATTTTATTTGTGACATAAGAAGAATTAATGAATTTAAGAAGGATTTTGGATTGCAGAGATTGGATACGGAAAGGATTCGATGATTTTGTGGAGCATTATATTAGATATATTGCAAGATTAGGGCATTTGTAAATGGTGTAACATTCGGAATCTGCTAGGAGTTTTTTGTAGTTTCACTCTTTTCCATGTAAGGCACTCGTAAAGATGGAGTTTTTAGACAATATTTTAGTAATTAATTGTATGTAGTGTTAATATTTAATTTAAAACCTTATTAATGAACATGCCTAATGAAGGTTCATCAGGAATAACTTTCTAAAAAAGTTAATTTTAACTGTATGCAAAAGTTTTTTCTTACACAACTCTTAGAATATTTTTGAAAGTTCTGAAGACTACCTCGATGCAACACACGTCTATCACACCTCTTAAAATGACGTCCTCATCTTATATATATAATAGCAACCAAGTATCATAATATCATCATCACAATTATTTATTAAAGAGATGGTTATCGATTTTTAAAAAATCGATATAAGTATCAATTCACATATAAAACACCTAGTGAATCCGATGGTGCTATAATTTTTTTTCTCGAAAAATAAGGTAGAAAAACGAGGTATTACAAAAGGGGTGTGAAAATAAATTGATTTCTGATACTGGCCTACTATTTTTTTAAAGAAATGTTATGAAAAATAAGTTAATTTTATCATAAGCAAAAAGTTAATTTTTTTTTCCCTCCCGAATCATACTCAATTTTTTCTCTCTAAATCGAAACCTAACCATTTTTTTTTTTCAAATTCTTTCAAAAAGCGATTCAAAATTTTTTCTTATTGAAATAATCAGTAAATTTCGGAAATATGTGCTACAAATAAAGAATTTCTTAATTTATTGAAGGAAGTTAGTTGACTGTTGTACATATCATGGAGGATAAATATTCAGGACGCAGTCATTTTAAAAAAAAATTTAATTAAAAAAAAAAAAAACTGCTTCCTGAATATTTATCATACAATTTCTTAATTTGTTTTTTAAAACCATTGATTTTGATATTATGTACATTTTTTTTTTCAGAAAACACAATTTTCCCCATATCTGAATAATTTTCAATGATGATTGTTTTGCTTTGGGAATAAACGACTCATTTTGTCTGTAAAATTTTTCATTTTTTTTTTTTTTAGATCTCTACAATATTTCTTTATTTTAATACTTTTAATCTTATATTATTAAAGTAAATTAATTAGTTGTTATATTTATATGTCTACCGACAGTTTTTCTAATTAAATAAATAATTTGTTAAAATAGTTAAATATGTTTTCATATTGGAGCCTTATTCCAAAGAACTCTCCATTTCACGGCGGCGTCGATACTGTAATTAATTCGGATATCAAAATACAGTTTTCTTTATTATGTAATTTAATAATTTCGTTTTCAGTAAAAAGATATGATAAGAAGCTGAAGTATGAAAGTAGAACAGAACTGTAAAATATAAGTATATATTACAGTTGTATATCTAATTTGTTTGTACAGCTTGCAGATGTGCACTGCAAATGTTTACTTCATCACATTCACCTAGATGTGTCTTTTATTTGAAAAAACATTTAATACGCATTGAAGATATTTGTGCAGGATGTAATTTAGAGATCCCAAAAAAACAAAAAACAACTAACCATCCTATATAATAGCTACTGAATTTTCATACCAATGCGTAAATGGGTCATTTTCAAAATTCCTCCAACTGTATATTTTTAACATAACAACTACTGCTATGTCTTCTAGATTGGAAATCGATTACAAATAGGTCTCGGATCTGAAGATCTTGATCGTAAAAGTCAATTATTAAATCTAAGAAAGATATTACAAATATTATGTATTATTTATAGAGTATAAACATGAAAGACTTAAATTAACATGGGAAAACTGAGAAGGGGCTTTAAAAATTATAATTTTAAGAAGAATAAACTTTACTTAATAAGAAGAATATTTATTTTTTGTGGAAAATAACATATGCTACATTTTTTTGAAAATATCACAGAATTCAGCCAAATTATATTGAATGCAAATTTTTCATAAAGTCAACTGTATTATTGTTAATGTCAATTTCGTTAAAAATAAAAATATAATGGAATTCTTCATTTCCCCATAGTATTATTAGATAAAATGTAAAATAGATATAACAAGAAAAATCCAGTATTACGTTTTCAGAGATTTAGAAGTAGATAGAAAGAGCCCATTTCATTTCAGAACTTATACAAAAATTATTGTCCACGAAATGTATTCTTGTACAAACTATGTGAAACACAAATATTGAAATGGTTGTTTTCCTGTGCTAAAGTGTTTCCGTTTCATATTTCTGATGTTTTCCATCTGCTGCAGGTAACAAGAGAAATAAAAAACATCTCTTAGCAGAAAAAGGTATTTTCAGACAAAGGGGAATTGAAAGTAAAAAATTATATATATCTCTGTTACGATCTCTTGTTTCTCATTTCATTAATTATCAAATTCTTTTATATTTAACTATTTTTTATATTAGAGATTAATGTGAAATGATCAATTTTTTATAAATAAAAAAAAAATAAAGACACTTTAGGGAAAGTTAATATTGAGAAATAGCCATTTAAGCCCTGTTAAAGAACATCAAACAGAATAAAAATTTCATTTTATTTATAACTGCCTAATTTCACACTGATATGATTAATCGTTATACTCATTTTCGAAAAAATCGTAAAAAATGTGTTTAGTCCATTATATAAAGTGCCACTTCTGGTCAGCCGATTTTGAATATGCAATTTCACTTTTGTATGACTTTTCGTTTTTGAGGGAGACGGTTAACTCACACACAAACAGACAATTTTGTGGGACTTGATTATTTGGACTCAGGGGAGCTCCGTTGAAAACTGAAATTCGAAAATTTTAACGAGCCCAATATTTTCCTTTCCTATATATTTCATATATAGTTAAATGAAAGTAAAAACGTTGGCTTAGCTCGAATGTGTTTAGCTAAGTTAGATAATTGTGTTTTCCATACTTTTTAAAATGTCTAAACGCTCCTTAAACAATTAAATTAGGTAAAAACTATACGAGCTACATAAAACAGCAATATCGGCATTGGAAGCCAGTGTATATATACATACTTACGATTACTTAAAATCAAATAAAAAAATTTAAAATTTACTGAGATATAGATGAGTCTTTGTTGATGCAAAAGCAGTAAGGATTGATGTAAGTGTAGTCATCGAGCAACAAATGATGCCCATCCTGAAGTCAGTCCACTTCAGTACCTTTGTGAACAGCAATGGCGAAGCGATGGAACCTAAGCACCAATAAAATATTAATGAAAATCATTTATTTATTTCATGATAATATTAACTATGGTATTTAATAATTACCTCTCTATTAAATAAAAAAGGTTTTAGTGACATTCATGTTTTATTATAGTAGAAGATAACAGACGCTCGTCGATTATTTTACAAATTATACAGCTGTTCATTTAATTAGATATGAGCAGTGTTGGCGTTTGTACGAGGATCCTCGTATTTGTACGAGGTTATGACGTAATGTACGAGGTACGAGGATAGATCAGCCTCGTACCTCGTACATAAGTTTTGCTGACGTATACAATGCAAGGTTATATTTTTATGAATGAAGTTTAGAATTGTTTTAAGGTTATTTCGACTGTATTATTATTTATATTGATATGAAATACTGAAGTTCATTTGCTTTCTAGACATATCAATTGCAATTATATCTTCTTTAATTAGAGTATGATTATTATTTCCTTCATAAAACCATGATTGTATATATGTTTTTTTTTTTAATTTTCTTGGAAATAAAATTAAAAAAAAAATTTTTAGATTTTATTCAGTATAAAATAAAATATAAGAAACCATATCTATTATTTCCTTCATAAAACTTTTTTTATAAATATATATTTTTTAAAATGTGTTGTAATAGAAAATTAAACAGAAATTTTTACCGTCATTTTTATAGAGCATAAAATAAAATACGAGAAAGTATATCCATTATTTCCTTTGTAATTATTATTTCCTTCATAAAACTGCAATTGTAAATATATTCTAGATAAATTAAATTTTTAAAAAAATTATTAGCGTAATTTAACAAAAAAATCGATTTTTTATGGAGTAAAGTAATTGATTGAAAAAATAATTAGTATTCATAATGAACCTATCGTAAATAATGAAAAAAAAAGTATTTTTTTCAGTGGTCCACATTTATTTTGTACGAGATCTAATTGTAAGCTAAATATTGAAACAATCACAATCTATTATTTTTTTATATTATAATGGATATGTCTAAAAGCATCAATGCCCAATAATTAATTTTTATTGTCCTTCCAGAACCACTAACATCCTTTCATAAAATTAGTTGTTTTGTTTTTATAAAAAAGAAAAAAATTAGTCTTTCCCCCAAAATTAAATCTTGGATCTACTAATGAATACTTATAAAGAGTACTTTAAGAAGTTTATTTAGCTATTTTAATTTTTATATAACGTTTTCAGTAGTTTATAAAAATATATAAACTTTTTTATATATGTTATTAAGCTAATTTTACTGCTTGACCAATTAACTTTAAAAAAGGTAATGTAAAAAGGCTTTAAAATATATGAATGAAGGTAAAAATAAAAAATTCTGATCTAATTTTACTTTAAAAAAAACAATAAAACTGCCATTATAACAGTGCAAGTTATGAATGAAGAAGTGTACGAGGATGTACGAGGCTTCAGTACGAAGTTTTGTCACAGAGCGCGCGGTAACACTGGATATGAGTTAAGCTGTTACCTCCTACTTGCCTAATACGAAATAAACCTTTTAGACTAAAAATTTGTTCGGGAATTTTTTTTTATATTTTTATGTTAATAAAAAATAATCGATCTGAATCGATCTGAATTTACAGAATACATGTAAATTATTAATGTTATACAATTTGAGCAACGAATAATACAATTAATTAAAATTTTGTATAATTTGTAAAATAGGGGATGGCCCTCCGTTAGGTGGACAGGGGTACATAACCGCGGGGTACATAATCGATTTTGTACATAACCGCTAAAAACAAAAAAGTATCTCTCTTAACCTTTGTGGCGATTAATAGAATGAATTTAAACTTAAAATAGAGATCTAGTATATAAGATCTGAATCAAGAGTGTAAATAGTTATTTCTTTGTTTCATAGTAAACACAATGAAGTATGAATTTGGTATATAAAATTGGATTGACAACACTTATTTGGTTATATATTACTATAAGATTATATTTTGGATGTAAAAATCCACATTATTGCTTAGTAAGTGTCTTAAACAGTTAAGGAGTTTTAAGGGGGATGATTTTGGGAGAGTTTTATCAAAAGGCTTGGTTCCACATTTTTTTTCTTACTGTGGAATTTCTTTTAACTAGTAGGCCCGTGCGAAAAATTCGCACAGCATATTATTATCAAATGCCAAATTAATAAGAAAATAGGAAAATGCAACTTATCAAAAGATTAAGACATAAAATGTTACTTTATCGATAAATATAGTCCACAAAGCAAACAAAAATTAATTTAAATCTTCATTTTTGTTTGGAACCAACATGTATACAAATTTCAGTTAGCTGTATATTTGCTAAAAATTGTCCGATTGCCATGATTTTTTTTTCCTTTTGTAGGAAATTTAGTAATCTTTTATATTATTATGGGCATAATCAAGGGAAAAGTGTGTAATTTTTCAGTTATTCGCAAATAAAGTTTATTTTCTTTCATAACTTGTTTGCCTGAATTTTCTGGATGATTGGACTATTGCCAGCCTGAAGGAGAAGGAAGCCTTCGAAATTGGTGGCTCAATCTTGAGATTTGGTGAAAAATTAGCGATGATATGGCTTGCCGATCAAAAACACCATCGATGAATAATATAAACTCCCCTCTCTCGATCATAGAGACCTCAAGTCGACGAAATGAGACATGTATTCAATGACAGTACTACAATTAATGTAAGGTTGTGTGTATGCGAACCCTATGCCTTGCGTTATCTCGAAAATATTACGTTTTTGGGCTTAAAAACGCAGGATAGTTCCGAAGGAACTATCCGGGTCTTGCTGTACGCATCAAAATCTTTAAGATCCAATTTGTCCCGTATCGATCTACAGACCTACCACCGTTCCAGTATCGAAGCCTAGCAAAATGTTTGTATCGACTTTATTTATTTTAGAAAGAAAAACAAAAGTGGAGAATACGATTCGCTAATCCCCCGTGAAATTCTGAATCCAACGGTACCCCATTCGTGGTATTTGAGCATGACAGGAGCTTATATTTGGTACAAAACCGATTTCGAGCCTTACTGTAATAATATATGTACGGATTGAAAATTTTTCCTTGATTACATAGTACACTAAGCAATGAAAGAATGAATGGAAAGACTGATATTCATGCCATAAACCTAACCCATAATGTTAATGGAGAGTTTTAAAATATTAAAAAAAAAAAAATGAGTGTTTGATAAGCCAATTTATATTAGATTTTTTTTTCTATAGTTTCCGAGATATCTGGCTTCAACTATAGCTAATTATGAAAAAAAAATTGTTGCTGTGCATCATGTTTATTGCTGTTTTTCAGTTATATCAGGAAAACTATCCATCATATCAACAAACACGTTTTATACAAAATTAAAGCTGATAAAATTTGCAATATGATTGGGTATATATCTGTTATCGCTATCTCGCTTAATGAGATATCTGTCCACAGCTATTGCGAATGTGGAAAAAAAAATTTTACCTCATGTTCTTTGCTGTTTTCGACTAGCTAACTCTTGATTGCTGGCGAGGAATCAAGAGTTAGCTAGTCGAATACCGTAAAAATCATAAGGTCAAAATTATTTTTTCCAAATTAGCGATAGTTGAAGACGGATATCGTGGAAACCAAGCGAGATATCGAAAAAAGGTATATTTTATTATTTTTTCCAGAAAGGCAATGCATTTAAATTAACTTCAAGTAATATTATTAGTCAGTGTTGAATATTTTTATTAATTACAATTCATAAAAGATGATCATGGGAAAGATATTATAAGTATTAGTACAAAAACGCCTTTTCAGTCCCGATAAATAATTTCTTTATTCAATATAATAATTCCGATAAATTCAAATTTATCCAAATTTTCAAAACTATATAGTGAATATAGTTTTTATGGTTATTATGGTTTTATAAATGGGCTAATGAATAATAATAAATCCACTGATAGATTTTTGTATATGTTTTTTTTCAGATAAAAATTTAAATTATATGTAAAATCAGATTATCCCTGAAGAAGCGAAAAACTGAATAAATTTGAAATAAAATAATTATTTATCGAGACTGAGAAGGTTTTTTTCTACAATTAAAATTCATTTAATTTCAGAAACAAAAAAAAAATGAATAAATGAATATTAAAATTTCTTAAGTGTGTTTAAATTGGCTTTATCTTTTATCGATAGTATTTGTTTGCGAAGCTATTATTTTTAATTGATGTTGTTGAACATGAGCAATCATGATGAGTGTTTTCACAGATGTATTTGAAATATTATGAAAACTAGTTAAAATGTCGAAACGAACACCTGTGAGATGAAGAAACGAGAAAAAATTATAACATTTACAAAATGAGATCTTGATAATTTCCCTAACTTTTGAATAGTTGTAGATAAAATAGGTAAAAAAGCTATATACATTTCGTAGAAAATTTAATCTTCAACAACTTTCTTTGTACAGTGGCTGAAATTTAAACCTTTAAACCAATCTTGTTCCATCCGATTCCGTCCTTCTGATTTCTATCCTCTTTTCTATGGAACAACTGCATTTGACAAGTCATTCCTAATCCCGACTGCCTTTCTCTGGTATTTTATTTCATACCATAAATAATCAGTTTCCTTGTTCAAATATCTTCTTTTCAACCATTATATGAACATTAAGTATAAAACAGTTACAACAACACTATACAGCACATTAAATATTTTATAGTAGGATTCATCATTTCAGAAATCTAGGGGCGTCTTACCAGTTCCAATAGTTAGGATGCACTATAATGATGCTAATTAAAAATAACAAAATTAATCAATATTATTTTGTTATTATAAATATGGAAAAATAAAAGTGACCAGAATATTTAAGTATTTGGGAGAAATAATATGTTACAGAGGTTCTGAGAAAGAGAGTATCCAAGAGAAAATCACAAAATTAGAAAATTTAAGCTTCGAAGCAAGCTAAGTTTATAATAAAATGAACCTTTCCACCAATGCAAAGCCAAGGCATTACAACGTTGTGATAAAGCCTGTGATTTTATATGGGATGGAGACCACATGTCTATCCAACCTGGAAAAGCTGCTAAGAATAGAAAGCAGGATCTAAAGAAAAATGTATGGCCTAGGAAAACATAAGAAGGTTACAGGCGAAGATCTTACGACATATAAAGAAAAATCAAAGACTTGGAAACCGAGATGAGAATCAGAAGGCTGATGTTCTGCGGGCACATGAAAAGGATGAAGTACACTGACACTGACAAGCAAAAAATTCCACCCACTTAATTTTTTCATGATTTCATCTAAAAATATTTCTGCTAATTGTAAAAAAAGTTGTATTTGTATATAATACATGGTATTTGTAGATAATACTTAGTATTTATGGAATTTTATAATCTTTTTTACCTTTAATAATCAAAATGTGATAGGGTAAGAAAGATTAGAGAAAAAAAAATTGAAAAAACGAACCGTTATTATTCTAAAAGAAATTAATTACATCATCGTTTAATACCATCGGGAAATGTCCCTTTGCTGGAGGATAGCCCATTCCTCCCGAACAGCCCTTTCAAGGTCCTGCAGTGTATCAGAAAGTGTTGCATGCGCTCCTATTCGTCTTCCGAGGTTATACCATAAATGCTCAATGGGGCTCAAATTTGGAGAACGTGCTGGCCAGGCTAAAACCTATTGTTCTGCTGAAGGAACGTTTGCACTATGCGGGCGACATGTGGGCGTGCATTATCGTGCATTAGAATAGAACGATCGCCGATTTCGTTGAGGATAGGCAACACATGAGGTTCCAAAATCTCATCTACATAGCGAATGGCCGTAGACGTACATAGACGTTCCGCGAACAATAATCAATTCTGTTTGGCGCTCCATTGAAATCGAAGCCCACACCATTAAGGAACCGCGTTGGAAAGGTTGGCTCTGGGAAAAATTACGGGCTGCATATCTTTAGTTTCTTCTTCTCCACACCCTTTCACGCCCGTCTGGAGATCGAAGAGCGAATCTTGACTCATCTGTAAAAAGTACAGCACTCCATTCGTCCATAGTCCAATGGCTGTGTTCTCGAGCAAAAGCAAGCCGTGTTACTCTGTGAGTTCTGGTCAACTCTGGTCCTCTTACTGGACGAAAAGCCATTAATCCATAATCATTTAATCTTCTCCGAGCGGTACGTTCAGAATTTTGCTCACCTCGAACTTCTTCGAGCTGATGAATCGCTTGAACAACGGTAAGGTGCAGGTTTCGTAAAATTCTCAAAGTCAAAAACCGATCATCCCGTGGTTCTGTTACCCTAGGCCGTCCAGAACCGTGTCTTCTATTGTAAGAACCAGTTTCCCAGGCGTCTCGTAAAGTTTCATATGGAACTCCGATGGCATTAGCTGTATATCTAATGGAACGTCCATCATCAATAAGTATCACACCACGCGCAACATCCTCAGCACTAAGAGGCATTTTTAAACTTAATATTGAAAAAATTAAAAGCCGGAGACTAAGAAATGTGTTACAAGAAACGGAACTGAACTAATGATACTTAATAAACATTTTGATTCTATAGAAAGTAAACATTGGAATCTAAAATTATTTCATTGAATTAAGGGTTAAGGGTTATTGTCCTTTATATTAACATTCCTAATTGAAAACAGTCAAAAAGATTACCTATTTATTCATTAAAAACAATAGACCAATCCAAACCAGAAATATTTTTAGATGAAAACATGAAAAAATCAAGTGGGTGGAATTTTTTGCCTATCAGCTTATAAGGAGGAATACAAATTCAGATGCCGACTGTCTTGATAGAGACTCATACAGGAAAACACTGAAAAATCTCACCAATATTGTAAGAGAAAAAAGGAAGGGTACAATGTGCTCCGAAGAAAGAAGAGAGATGCAGCCGAAAATCATGAAACTGCGATGGGAAGAACGAAAATCAAGACTCCCAAAGAAGCCTAAAAAATGATATTCGCATGATCCTTAGTGGCCTGCACGTGATTAAACAAAAAAAGTTATTTTATTAAACATTTTGAGATTACTTACCGACTGTGGTTATTATCAAGCTGTAAGTGCCGAAAATAGTCTCCTCTTTGACAGTGAATCCGAAGCCCTGCTGCATGAAGTAGAGATGGATTGTGTGCTCAGCTATCAACAACAAAATAAAGTATTAATTAGAATCCATATTTAAATCCAAGTGTTCAAACGGAATTTATCATTGTTGTATTAACGTTTAAGGTGAAGTAGTAATTAGTTAATAAACGGTGAAGCGATCTACCCCTTCGTCTCCTCTAAGGCTATACGGAGTTTTTCCAGGCCAGAGGGGAGGTCGGGGGATTAATGCCAAAGTTAAAAGTCCCCCCATCACCGGGATGGGAGCTCGTAGCTATTTGTATCAAATTATCTCATATATAAGGTTGCCGGGTAACAGCGGTGCTGTGTACGCGTTACCCCGTTCGGCCACTCCGCCCCATACGTTCCTTTCCTCAAATGCCGGAGAGGGCAACGAATCTCGGGCTGCATGTCTTTCTCCGAGGGAGCTTACCAGCCACCTATCCAAGTACTTACCATGCTCGACGTTGCTTAATCTTGATTACCTATTGGAAGATCCTTAGACGAATTGACCATCTCAGCTCCCATATATAATGTATTACATATATAATAATGTACATATATAAAATAAAGTAAAATATGTTATCTTAATCAATACATAACAAGATATGTTTCCTTACCTTGAAAGAAGGTAAAGTACAACGGTTTGCTGATCATCATGGCCCAGATCACAACATTGTTCGGTCTCGATCTGAAGACCGCTTTGAGCCTCCCCATCAATGTCAACTCCTTCTTCTTCACCACGGCTTTCGGCTCCTCGTGGACCGAGCTATTTATTAGACAGATCGCCAGGATGTATAAGCTAGCTGTGATCAAGAAGAAGGTTTGGTACCCGACGGCGGTGAGGATGATTCCACGCAACGGAGTAGCGATGAGAAACCCGACGAATGTCATGGTATGCATCAATTGAAGCCTGAAAACATGGTCGAGCGATAAGGTTAGATTTCCTTTAAAATATATATATATTTTTTAAATGTCCCAGGGGAGGGGTGCCCAGAAGAGGGTTTTATGGAGCAAGTTGAGCCATCAAAATTTATGAGGGGGACACTTTTTGACGGAGTTTTCAGTTTTTGAGGGGGGCACATTTCTTGGATTATGAATTTTCAAAATGAAAAGTTTCAATTTAAAAGACAAGTGGGAGAATGGAACCGCAGTAGATATAATTCTATATAATCTACTAATATTTTTTTTTATTATTTCTTAATGATATTTACAACTGTATCAAATAAATACATCGAGTAAATTTGAACATATGGACATAATGACATGAAAGCACTTTAATGATATGTAGCACTCTAATGATATGTCTACATTAGAAGATCACGGGGCCATCTTCTGTTCAGACGCCTCGGAGGGTTATCAGGAATTGAAGAGGAAGCAAGGTTAGAAACGAGGGGGTTGGGATGATTCTGAAGTTTATTATGGAAGGATAGGTATCTGAATTGGGCCAGATCTGAAACATAAGAAACAGTCATTATGGATGGTTTTATTTGTAACAAAGTAGGGAGCATTGAGGATTTTACGATGGATTTTGGATTGAAAATATTGGATACGAGAGGAATTCGATGGTTTAGTAGAGCCCCATAGCTCAACTCCGTAAGTCCAAATCGGCCTTATTGTAGTCATGTATATAAGTCTTTTGTAATTAATTGGAAGTTTATAGCGTTTGTCTAGTAAGTACTGAAGTAATCGGAAAAGTCGAGCGGTTTCTTGTCGTTTCTGTCTAGTATGAGACTAATAATTAAATTCTGCTTTCGTTGGTGCTGTTTTTAAGAACAAGAGATGAATAAAATTTGTTGGGAGAGGTGGGGAAAGGTCTATGCGCCATCGGCCTTGGGGGTGATGGCCAACCCTCATCACGATGTAAATTGAAGGTTTGGTCTATTATAATATGTGTATATTGGAGTTCTGGTAATCGCCAGTTTCTACAATCGTTTTTTAATTAAAAAAAATTAATAGATAGGTTGAAATAAGCAATAGGGAAAACTCATGGACCAACGGATCCCAATTGTTTTTTTTGTTGGAGCCCCGCACGTAATAAGTGCTACATTCTCCAAAACCTTTAAAATGTTGGTCAGATTTTATTAAATCAGATACTTAAAAAGTATTCAGAAAATATTTGCTTCTCAGATTCGTAAAAAGTTTCCAAAATGTTGTCAGATTTTATCAAATTATTTATTTGCTAAGTGGTCTAAAATTATTTCAATTGTTTTGACTGCTACTGTTTGGGTAATTGTTGGTACATTTTTCAAATTTGCTTGTCAGATTCGTGAAGAGCTTCCAAAATGTACTCAGATTTTATAAAATTAATGTGCTCTGAAAGTATTGTAACAGGTATTTTGCCTGTAGCTGATCACAAAATTTCTGGCACTTTTTGAGATTTTTAAACGCTTTCAATTCGTATAAAGTTTCCAAAATTGTGTTAGACTTGATTAAATCTGTTACATATTAAGTTTTCTGGAACTATTCCTGTCGGTTTTTTTCCTGCTGCTGATCACGTAATTTTTGGCATTATTTTACATTTTTTTTCAAATTCGATCAAAGCCAAACGCTTTTAGTTAGCTCTCTGATTCGAGGATTTTTCGCATTAGAGTTGTCATCTCTTTTCTGTTTTCAAATTTCAAACCTTCTGCCGCTAATCATGTGATTAAATCTTCGGAAGATCCCCTGATATAGGATTAAAAGAACTAAACAGACGATGAGGCCAACTATACAGATTACTAAGTAGAAAATCTCAACTTTCAACTTACAACAGATTACTGATCAACAAAACAATCCTGAAACCTATTTGGACTTCCGTACCAGATCTGTGGAGGACAGCAAACTTTTCAAACATCAAGCACATCCAATCCTTTCAGTCCAAAGTCCTACGAACAATAGTTGATGCTCCATTTTATGTAACCAACAAAATCAAACCCCATTACCTTAGTCTCTCATTTGCCCTAGATCTCACCCTTAAAAAATCTCCAAATTACACTAAAACCTTACATATCATCCAAATCCACTTACACAATCCTTATCCAAAACCGACCATTACTGTACTAAAGGCAAAGGTGCTTGACATGCAGTTTGGTTTAAAACTCCCCTGGTAGTTCGGGAGTACCGGATGTGGAGCTAATCAGAATAGAAAAGTCGGAAAGAACTTTCTTAAGGGAGCCTATTTCAGGTTTGTCCACCATCCTCCATTCCATTTCTCGGTGGTTTACACACGGGGGCTATTGGGTTTACCTGCACTCTATGGTCGGAGAATATGCAATCCTCTTACAGGCCTTAGTTCATCGCATCCGTTCTCTGTATCGTCGTCAACTTGTTCTTCTGTTTTTATAAGAGATTACGATGAGAGGGACACATACTCAGAATACTCGACTCTTTTATAGATTACTATCGTCGATAAAATGAAAAAAAAACTATATCATTCAGTAAACGGACAAGGTAAAATGTATATAACGCTTCTGCATGACTACATTTTTGAATTAATATAATTCTTACTTTAAAGTGAGCTCCTCCGGTTTGGTGTTCGCGGAAACATAACAGTGGAGTCCCAACTGGAAGACACTCATACCGAAGAGTCCGGCAATTACTGCGTCCAGCATGGAAGGCAACCAAATGCTGGAAGACCATTGCCAAGAAGAGAAAGAGTATAGGAGAGCATTGAAGAGTTCCGCAGAGAGGCCGATATAGAGTAGTGGTTTGTTGAGGCCGGTCGAATCTCGCCAAGAGCCGAAGAAAGTTCCTGACAAGGAGCCGCAGACAGATCTTATGGTACTCTTTGTGATCGTCACCTCTGGAAAAAAAAATAATGAATGATTTTGTAGTATGTGTAATATGAGTTGCAGATTGTAGTAATATGAGTCAAGAGAAATGGGTCAAACTCCACAGGAGGGTTACGTACAAGAAAAAACTTATATATTCTTGTCCGATTTGCAATGAAATATTGGCTAATTACAAATAAAAAAGATTTCATAAATGTATTAGGATTTCGGTTAATTTTTATTTTAATAAATGTTCCAAAATACGTTCCACGATTGACTTCTAAACATTTTCGATTTCGACTCCGAAAAACAACAGTTACCTTACAGTTTATTCTAGAGAGTCACAGGAGAACACTACTTAGAATTTTTACGATTTGAATCACAATATTAGAGGATATTAGAGGAATGATAGGAATATTAGAGGATGTTCCTCTAAACAACAGAATGCAAATATACTTTCAGCATGACAGAGCTCTCGCTCATTTTGCGATGGTCCAATTGGTTAGCTTCCAAGATCTCCAGACCTCACCGCAGAGATGGCCATATCCAAAAATTTAAATACTAATACCATTTATATTTATCTTACAAATGAATATAAATATGAATATATTCATATTCATAAAAAGTAATATGATTACAGAAGATACTTTTGTTTGTTTGTTTCGATGTGTAGGCGCAAAACAAGTCATAAGCGCCCGATCAACTAAATAACATCACTTAATACTATTTGGATGGCTGGTACAAAAAAAAAAAAAATAAAAAAGAATAAAATAAATAAAGAAATGGATTGATAGAATAAAACAAATAAATAAGGATAATAATAGACATTTATAGGTAATAAGATGTATAAAAAATGTATAAATAAATAAACTTTAAAAAATAGCAGTAGAATCAATAAATGAATTGAGATTAATAAACAAATGAATTTAAAATGAAATGAAAAAAAAATTAATAATAATAAGAGATAATAGAATAAAAATAAAAAAATAAAAAAATTAATAAATAAAAAAAATAATAGTAAATCTGCAAAGGATCATTAAATATAAGCCTGTCAAATGTGTTTTTTTAGTCTTTCACTATCCAGGAACTTGATGACTTAGGTAACGATTTCTTCTTGATTTCCCAGGGATGCTGATATACGTATTCCCGAAGATACGTATATAGTGATTAGTGATATTAGTGATATAGTGATAAGAAGATACGTATATATAGTGACAGATGATACGTATTCACGGCTGTAAATATAAATACGGCCGTATTCACGATTGTAAAACTAAAATGAATACGCTTAAATTTACAGAAGTGAATGGAAATATTTTCACAAAATCTTAATAATGAATACTCTTATTTATTAAAAAAAAAATGTATTTATTTGAAAAAAAAAATCGATTTGCTATATATCATTTTATTTTTATAAATAGTATTATATTCTACCTTTTACAATATGTTATGTTAATTATTATTCGTAATGTTTGTACGTAATATAAATTCCCGAGCCTTTGTATTTACACTTGTAAAAGTGAATACGGCAGTATTCACGTTTATTAAAATTAATACGCTTAAATTTACAGAAGTTAATGCAGATATTTTTACACTATCTTATTTATCAAAAAAAATTTATATTTATTTAATTGTTTATATAAAAAAATATATTGGATATTTAATAGTTGACCGTTGCATTACAAAGGAAGGCGTTTCGACCCGACTTTGCAGGTCTTCTTCAAGGATAGAACGGACAATTCTCTATCTTTTTGTATTTTGTCCGTTCTAGCCCTGAAGAAAACCTGCAAAGTCGGTTCGAAACGTCGGCTTTCAATAAAATAGTTTTACCACTATTTAGCCTATTTATCCTATTTTCCCTGACCATCTCCTTCCTTTAAAAAAATATATTTACTATACATCCCATATTATTTTTATTTATAGTATTATATTCTTCGTTTTACAATATATTATGTTAATTATCACTCGGAATGTTTGTACGTAATATAAATTCTCAAGCATTTTTTTTTATCGGGTCCAGAGGGTGGGGCCTCTCCCGAACCAGAATGCGGAAAGCTTAGGTCAATGATCCTAGACGTACAGACTTTTCGGTGCACTGTTTACTTATGGGCTGCTAATGGCAATAAAGATAAGTTTAACGGACGGTCAGGGTAGGTACAACACTCGGAACGATACCCTGGAAATTCCATCGTGAAATACGTGTACACTACTTAAGTTGAAGAAAGAAAAGGGGCAAGAGCTATCAAATTTGAATAGTGACCTTTCCGGACCTGCGTTCAGTGTGTATATATTTGTTAATGTGTTAAGTTTTGCATATAAAACAATGTATGAAGTTGATAGCGTAATTGAATCTGTTTGATTTGTATCTGTCAGGCTCTTGTAATCTGGATGATAGAGATTTTTTTTTTAAATTTTTTTCATGAGACTACCGGCTCTTTATGAAATTCCAATATTCTCACCTATTCAGAATTTTTATTAGAGGGAGGGAGGGAGGCGATGCCCGAAGAATGTAATACTATATATAAAAATCTGGTGCGCGCAACACACAACTTTCATTTACCGATCTACTTTCAATAGAAATTATTTTCTCGCAATACTGGGCTATTATAAAAATTTTTGAAGTGCATTTTAAACGGAGCTAAAGCTTAAATCTTACTGATAACAAGTTGTTAAGACCATTATAATTACAAAATGTCTATTTAATATATCGACGACAGGCAATAAAAATCTATTCACTCTATCTGATTTTATAAACCACACAACTTTCTTTGCTTTAATAAACCACAGAATGACTAACTCCAATTTCAACATTTTTGAGTGATGTCATTTTAGTGATATTTTTAGTTGAAAAAGTTATCAATGCAGACAATGAGTAAGTTGATTCCAGAGGTGGTGATTGCAGTGTTGAAATATAGAACTGAGAATAAAGTTGTAAATTTAGGTACTAATTTCTTATGAAAAATGTTCTTAAGTAAGGCACTTTATTAAATATCTGTAGAAAAAAGGTTTTTTTAGTCTCAACAATTAAAAAAAAATATTTTAAATTTATCCAAATTTTCGCCTCTTCAGGGAAAAAAACTAGAGACCATATCTTTCCTCCTAATTGTCCGATTTTACCGATTTTTTTTTTTTTTTAGGAAATTCCATAAACTTTAATTTTAACATCCCTCGTAACTTTTTTCCAGCTTCTTTTTGTCGAAGTATGTTTTATAGATAAATTTAAAGGGTATCGAGAAAATGACTTTAGAGAAGTTTCATTGAAATCGGTACATTCGTTTAGGGGCTACAGTCTTTAGCAACACAGGTTTTTCTGCATTTTTATTTTTTTTCTCCTTTATTAACTTATCAAATTCTTTCAAAATTAATGTAGAATTTTTTCGTAGCTCTGAATAATGCAAAATGGTTAAATTTTTAAAATAAACCATATTAAAGGTACTTTAGAGGAAGACATATATGAACATTGGGCATTTAAGCCCTGTAAAGTGACATTAACGGGGATAAGACCTAAATGATATTAAAGACCACTTAATTATACAATGATACACCGAGTTTGATCAAAATCGTTAGAGCCGTTTCTGAAAAAAATTGTAAAAATGTTTTTCAGCGTTAATATAAAGTGGCACTTCCGGTTAGCCGATTTTAAGGAAAAAGTTACTGTCACATCCGGCCCATATACAAACCTTAAATACTTAATATCAGTTTCGTACTACTTTTCGTTTATGTGCTGGACTGTTAACACAGGCGCACACACGGACAGACAGACACACACACACACACACACACACACACACACACAGACCATTTTGCGACACTTGCTTTTTGAACTCAGGGGACATGTATTTCCGTTGAAAACTGAGATTTGAAAATTTTCACGATCGCAATACTTACCCTTAATATACATTACATATATACGGAAGTGAAAGTAAAAATAAAATGATATATATTGTAATTTTTTTAAATAAATAATTTAATAAATACATTTTTTAAAATAAATAATCATTCATTAATAAGATTGTGTGAAAATATTTACATTCACTTCTGTAAATTTCAGCGTATTCATTTTAATAAACGTGAATACTGCAGTACTCACTTTTACTAGTGTAAATACAAAGGTTCCAGAATTTATATTACGTACAAACATTACGAGTGATAATTACCATAATATAATACATTGTAAAATAATTAACATAACATATTGTAAAAGGAAGAATATAATACTATATTTAAAAATAAAATTATACATACAGTAAATATATTTTTTAAAAATAAATAATTTAATAAATACATTTTTTTAAAATAAATAAGAGTATTCATTAATAAGGTTTTGTGAAAATATTTCCATTCACTTCTGTAAATTTAAGGGTATTCATTTTAGTAAACGTGAATACCACCGTGTTCACTTTTACAATCATGAATACGGTCGTATTTATATTTACAGCTGTGAATACGTATCTTTTGTATTCATATAACTTTTTATGAATATGAATATATTATTCATTTGTACCATAAATATAAATGGTATTCGCATTTATATTTTTGAATATAAATATGCCCATCTCTGCCTCACCGCTCTGGATCACTCTTTATGGGGCAGGATTAAAGATGGAGTATACAAAGTAAAATAGACGCTCCAGATACACCAATTCTCTATTAAATCGACAATTAGGAGGACATTATTGCCCTTCGAACAATAGAACAAAAATGTTTAATTATGATCTGAATTTTGAAATTATAAACTGAATCCTACAAGAAGTGCTCCGTTAGGTATAAGGCAAAGAGAAGTCATTGGAGAAATATACAGTATGCTTAATCTGAACCTATTTTTAGAACGCCACCATGGAAATACCAACCAGTTAAAATATCCCTCACTTTTAAGCACGAAAACTCAGATTTTAATAAACTTAAAATCCTAAAAAAAAATTCAAATATATTCAGATCATGAAATAATATACACTGATGGATCCAAACAGATAATGCCGGTTTTGCAGTAATTATAAATAGGATACCCAATAATTATAAATTAGCCGCAACC